GTGCTCCCCTAATTTTTTTGAACAGTGTATATTGACAAAACAATCCTTTAAGTATATCTTGAGAAATTTAAAAAAAGTAAAAATTTGAAAGTGTCTTTTCCATTATTGTATGTATATAAAAATGAAACATGCTGTGAAAATCAGAATAATTAGAAACTGTCACGCATTTTGGTAAAAACAGGAAACCATCTGCCTATTTTATATAAAACATAACTGTGCATAATGATCCAGAGATTGCTTAAGAAGTGTCCGGAAATCATCGTATCGCATGAACACACACACACCTGCTTATAATTGAAAATATTACTTATTTAAGAGAGAGACTTTGTATCATTTTTTTCAATGTAATCATGAATCCAACATCCAGTGTCCCTCTTGAGAGTCCGAGACAGCTTATCACTGGTATGTTTATATTTTCTTCCAAATACTATAAGTTTTGTTTTGATCTATATGAGCGTGTGTATTAACACTTAACATAACATAACCGGTCAAATTACCGTTTTTGCATCTAAAATGCGCTTATCATCTGATCGTTTCTGCACATTTGACTTCATGACTTTTTCTAAAAATTATATACAGTTAATATTCTATTATTATTGTTTATTTTTAGTATTTTGTTTGTATCGAATAATACTTGCCGTATATCTATTTCTACCACAACCGGTCATTTGACCGGGAGAACAATTTATCGCTTTTTAAGGTGATCGGATCAGAAATTATGAGGTAATGCGTGCTCCAATTATTGCATTCGTTGTGTTGCACATTTCTGCAAAAGATAGTTGCGTAGTGAGTTCCATCAGCATAACTGTGAATTCACATTTAAAGAAAGTACCTGAAATTTTAGGTTAACATTTTTGTGCCAGATAAAGTGACAAAAATTAAATGTTTCGGTAAGTAGCCTATATTTTATTTTACTAGCTTTACTTCTCTTCCAACCAACTGTTAGTTTTTACCCAGAAAAATGTCGAAATAATCATGACAGCACAAGTTCTTAGAAGAAATAATATTAATCATAAGAATAATTATAATTCTTTTATATTCTTAGAATTGTAAGAATAATTTTAAAAAATTATAGAAATAATAATAGTTAGAAGAAATATGTTTGCGGAATATGTACAATGGAAATACCCTATATGTGTAAAAAATGCGCTGAGTAATGAATTAAAAATTCTTATGCCTTATGTTTGTAATACATAAAAATTGGCATTATGCAATCTTATTTAATAAATAATAAAGTTTTTTTCGTTTATTTTTTTCCTAACATCCCTATTTCATACATTTAATCAAGAAACATTAAGTCCGGCTATGTTAGAAATAGATATAGATTAAGTGTTGGCATGTTAAGCGTTAATCAATGTGTAATATATATATTTAGATGCAACCATGTGTATAAGAGCTGCTTTACTGAAGGTCTATGAAGATAGCAGAAATTTGAACATTCTTAGAGAGAACGGTTACGAGAGAGAAAATCTGAACAATCTGACTGACGACGAAAAGATGATTCTTTTGATCCATAAACGAAATTCCGAAAATTAGGTAAGATTTTTTTAATTCAATCTCTAATTTATGCCCTGGTAGAAATTTCCCGGATAAAATGGTTAAATAACAATTTAATGAGTGATTATTTTACCATATTTAATCAAAACAGTCGAATAACCATAAATAAAATGGTAATCAAACTGTTAGAGAAAAACTGTTTATTAACTGCTTTCGCCTTACACGGTTAAACCACCAGAATTTGATCGCACCCACTAGAACCACCTCATAAAGCTACTTAGTTCTTTGCAACTGCGTATATGTCATAGCCGAGAGGGCTTATCTGTCCATTTCATGACCGGCAGAAGTGGAGTTTGAGTCCTAGTGTTGACTCCACACTATTTCCTCCTGCAGAAGATGAGTTTGAGTCCTAGTGTTGACTCCACACTATTTCCTCCGGCAGAAGATGAGTTTGAGTCCTAGTGTTGACTCCAGACTATTTCTTCCATTCCCTTCAACACATGAAGAATTTCCAGTGTCCGGCACTCTCCAATACCCATTTCCTTACGAAAAGCTGAGCTCTTATGTCGAGTTAAATAATTATTTTTTTCTTCGCGTTTTTGAAAAAGACCATAAAAGAAAAAAAAAAATTTTCACCATAACCTTTAAGATTATTCGGATAGACAGACAGCTGTCAGTTATTTTACCATCATTTTAGAATGAAAAATTTAACAGTGTGTGCAGTGTGAGAAAACTCATTAAGTAACCCTTGCAACGCGCACAACTGGTTCTTTGGTGCAGCAAATATATTCCCGACTTCGGGTCTGCATCAAACGACATGCGATGATATCAATTAATTTTGATCAATAATTCTTGCATGGATCAGATAGAATCAGACATTTATTGGCAGACATTTATTTAGTGGATCGCGATAACACGATCTCGATCCTACCTGACTATTAGAACAGACACGTAGGCATGCGTCAGGGTCTGCATCACTTTTCACCATGCAGAAAGTGATACAGACCACAGTGCTGACGTAAAATATCTTCAATGATGGATGGATCACGGGTTGGAATCCCCTTAACTCGGGCGAAGAGGTTTCCGTGGTTTCCCTCTCCATGTAACGCAAATGCGGGTTAGTTCTCTCAAAAAATCCTCCACGAACGCTCATTTATCCCAAGAGTTTCCTTCTCTTCTGCATAGGGTTTTAAATTACAGGGCTACGTAGTGGAACATTGGTAGTTTTAAACTCAGAATTGGTGTTCCTTAAAATAAAATAAACAAGTAATGTAAAATAAATTTTAAGTCAATTCCTTCTTAGGTCAACGAAAAAAATTTTTTATTTTAGTTACTTTATTTTGTGAATTATTATAATTCTTTCTCCCTTATGAAACTAAAATTAATTCATTAAAATTAATGAATGAATTCATATTTGAAAAAACTGTATTAACATCAAGCGACATCCTCTATAAGTTTAAAAAAATTTATTTGAATGTGAGTGGATGAATAAAAAGTATTTCATTAACGATTAAAAATCTGAACATGATATATAAATATATATAGGACGAGTGTGAACTAATGGTTGGAATTGGAAAAAAAGTGAATATAAAATAATTAAATATTTAAATGTGAGCAATAAACTATTATTTCGTTCAAATAGAGCTATAAGTTAGAAATTATCACTGATGTTATCTTTAAAATAAGTAAAAAACTGAATCGCTTATAGTGAAATTTAAAACGATGACTAACGCTTAATCCATCAGAAAATTTCTTCTCGTTTTTTGCTCATCCCTATTTAATGAACCAATTAATATTTAAATAAATTTTCATTATCATCAAATCTCATCCGCAAAAAGTTTTTTAAAAAATGTATTCGAAAAAAGTATTTTATTAACGTTTGAAAATTTGAATAACATAAGAGTGTGAACTAATAGANACTTTGGATCGCTCTCCTGACCAAACTATGGGGACCATATTTCCCAGATTGCGGCTACCCCCTATATTTTGAAGGTTAAGAATCCAAATATGTAAGAAAAAATATATGTTTATTCAGAGAAAGTACGTTTTTGTGTCTGATTTCGTAACTTAATTAATAGTTAGCACTAATTAATTAGCATATTTGAGGTCACCCCCAGGAACCATTAAGATTAACACTTAGTTCGTGAAAATCCGATCATTAGAACGAAAGTTATTCAGGGTGATATCTTTTTTTTTTTTGCCGACTGTACTAGTATATAGAGAGAGACTGGGAACTAACAGTAGGAATTGAAGGGGAAAAAAAGGCGCGTTGTAACAGCCAACTATAAAAGTATAAATTTGGTGAAGTCGACCACACTTGCTACCATGTAATGTTCTTTATTGAATTTATCTGACACAGCGGATATAAAATAATTAAATATTTAAATGGAGGCAATAAACTATTTTTTTTGTTCAAATCTGTGAAAACATGTTGCAAATGATCACTGGTGTTATTTTTAAAATCTGTGAAAAACTGAATCTCTTATAGTAAAATTTGAAACAATGCTTAACGCTTAACCCATCGGAAAATTCCATTTCGTTTTTCGCTCATTCCTTTCTTAATGAAGGAATTAATATTTGAAAAAAAAATGTATTAACATCAAGCGTCATTCATTGCAAGTTTTTAAAAAAAAATTTGCACTTGAGAGGATGCATAAAAAGTATTTTATTAACATATGAATTTTTGAATAACATATTTATAGGAAGAGTGTGAACTAATAGAAAGATGAGTATCGCTAAAATACAAATCAGTATCAATATTAGAATTGATATCAATACGTCGGAGCGTTTTGAGATTTATATTGATACTATCTTTCAACATTACCGATGGTATTGGAAAGTTTTTTGAAACTATCTTTTCTTTCTCGATAGTATTTCTCTCTGTCTCTCTTTGTACTTTGATGGAGCGTCTCTTGATACTCTTTAAAGTAAAATAACTCTTTTTTTTACTCAAGAGGACCCCAAAAATAAATTGGGAAAATCCCACACATTTGTTTGATAATATACGAGGATCGTCCGGAGAAAATGTTCCTTATTTTTATTTCAAGTTTACAGAATTCCTCAGAATTCTTTTTGTATTTTCTTTGAAAGAGCCTTTGCTATTTGAAACCATCACTTTTATTTTGCAATACTGGAATTTCTTTTACCGCTTTGAATTTAAATGCAAAAAAAAAAAATATTTTGTTTTTCGTTTCTGGCGAGGTTTCGAATTTCGAGTTAAAAAACCAAACAGTACTTCATTTTATACAAAGAAAGAAAGAAATACATTTAAGTCAACTACATTTATTTTGATATTCAAAAAATACCTTAAAACAACATATGGAAGGAACTTTGTATTGCAAGTTGATTTAATCTTACACAGCTAATGCACCAATAAAAAATTAATCATCGATCTAATTAGATTATACTTATAGATTAGATTATAATTATTTATGTAATGAACATTCTTTAATCCTTTTAAGAAATTATATGAAAATAGAGACATTTAATGTCTCAAATGAATAATACTTGCGCAGAAAAATGATATCAAACTCCAAGAAATCTCTACAAAAAAAGGAAATGACTGAAAACACCAAAACCTGTTTTATTTCCGTAGAAAACAGGGATAAATGAGTCATTACTATAAAACGCATCCAAGTTACATCAGACAATCGAAATTGATGTTTTCAATACAGTATTCCTTATGAGTGATTCGTTATAACTCGGTAGTGTTTATATTTATTTATAGCTTAAATATTAATCAGCGATTGTCAATGAGCTTATTTTTTTTACTTAATTTTTGATATATACATTTAAGGGACCGCCATTACAGAACATCCTATATTATCAAACCGATCTCATTTTTTCACGTCTGTGAATGTGGAATCTCGCAATCTACGGATTCTTAACCATTTTCCGATTATATAGAGCACTCAAATGAAGCTCCGTGCTCGATGACAATAAGACATGCTTTAACTATTTTTTTAACTGCTACAAGCTGCATTTATCACCTTATTATACCGACCATATCATGTCGTCCATCAAAATACGTATAATTTTCCCTCTAGCTAGAGGACTTCAATTTAATTTTGATCTCTTTACTGGATGAAAATATAACGCTTTAAATATTTCCGGATTTCTAAAATAACACATCTTATTTAAAAAGAAGAAAATAATGAAATACAATAGTTTTAAAAACTACTTTTTTTCAAGTGGACTTTTAAAAAAGAGGTTATTTCTGCTGCACCCATCAAGAAAAACATAGGGAACATACTTTGGATATGAATTTCCTTCACCATCATAAGTCCACGTCTTTCGATAGTGTTTTTTTTCATTTCATGTCTGACAAAAAATGAAATTATTCTTTTCTGGTTAATTCGGTGTGTTTGTTTTAAACATTTTTAGTCCATTTTCCTCAGATAAATTTGTTCTCATTTTGCAGGAAAGAGCATTTGGTTCGATTTTAACTGTAAATAATAAATATTCTTGTAAAACAATTTTGATCCGAATTGAATTCATAAATCTGAATATTCAATATGTCTGAAATACTGGTAAATTTTTGATAGTTTGGTACTTTTAAAATTTATTTTTAATGAATTGCTGAATTAATTAATTTTAGTTAACAAAATTACTTTGTTTGTTGGCGTGTGTTAAATTCCAGCACATTTTGAAATTACATTTTTTTTAATCTTTTGATTCTTGAGATTGAAAGTGCAGTTTAAAGTCAACACCTTGTCTTAATATAAACTTGCATAGCAGTAAAAAGTAATTAATAAGCAAACATTTTTTCTCAAAAAATACAAATAATGTTAATTAAAATTCTACCTTTTGATTGAAAAAGCATGTAATTAATATTTACATTCTAATTTATTGGTGAAAAATGAATATTTCAGTATTTTCTATGAAGAAATTTTGTGAAAAGAAATTCGAATGAGTACATAAATTTTCTTAAATTTTATTTTAGCTTAACTTATCTATTTTGATGAAAGATTAAAGATGAATATTTTAGTATAAAAATATATAGATTAAATATTTATTTACTTTTTGATGAATGACTACAT